TGGCACATAATCTGGAATTCTGATTAATGTGTCTGGACCTAGGAATTGCCAGGAAATTGGAACTTGCTGCAGCACATTGTGCCATTTAAAATTTCAGAGTCATAGCTTGAATGTGTATGATTCTTTTTCTTGGTTTCGGCTTGGTAGCTTAATCTGTGTATTTGAAGGTGATTGTCTGCCAAGATACTTTTCATGATAATATACTGCCCACCCTGGGGGCTGCTAGAGAATAAGACTTCTGAACACTGGTAGTTAAGGAAAACCTACTTTACAAAATAACAGAGGAAAAAAGTTTTATGTATTAAGAGAACATTATAAGATTCAAAACGGATGAGTGACATACTGTTACAATATTTACATTATGATATGCATATATAGTTGAATTTATATTCGAATTTCCTGATATGTAGATTTTTTACTCAGCATATTATTTTGTATTGTGTAATGTACCATTGAATGGCTAGAGGTGCCGAAATATATATATAGTGAGTCATGCTTATTCTAATAAAAGAGGAAGTGCAGTATTTATTATGCAGAAACACTAGTTTCATTTTATCCATAAACTAAGAATGAAAGTAAGATTTATATTGAAAGGGGAAATTCTTATAGATTTTTATGACTAAAACTTTATGTTATCTTGAGAATAAGTAAAAATCCGTGTATCTGAAGTATAATCAGTTAGCAAAAGTCCAGCTGTTATACCAACTTTAAATAGAATTCCAATTCTATTAAGCAGAGTGCTTAATACAACATTTTACAATTCTTGTTAGTAAATGTAACATAATGTGGTGGTGTTTAATATAAAGGTGATTACAAGTATGATATGGGTGAAAATAAAGGCTTTGGTATGATTTATCGAAATTTGGAATATGTGATAATCTGTAAAGGTGTGTATGGTCTGTGAAAGGAAGGCTGACACAGGTATGAGAATTGAATTTTCTTACCTGAAATAATTAGTATGATAAATGCTAGTAAAACAGTACAAAAGCCTTTTAAACACTGTATCTGTTCTTGTAGATGTAGTGTTTATACAAATTAATGCCGTATATCTCAAAACTCCGCATGCAAACTTGGCAGGGAGGTAGAGATCATCAGTATGGACCATATTTACTTAGAAAAGCAGGACAAAAAGGATATCTCTGCTGTATGCGGGTGCTCCATATTGGTACCTAGGGCTTCTTCATTAAAGCTTGTAATGTTGTATAGTGAGTATGCTTCATCTGATTGGTCAACCAGGATAACATAGCTTTCCTTGACATGATTATTATAGTCAATAACAGCCATACTTCTCATAAGGCATATTTGTCTGTATTTACCCCCCCCCCTTTTTCTTTTTTTCCTCTCTGCCATAATCAGACTTTCAACATCAAGTGCCTACCTAGGCTAAATTCAGTGAAGCATTAAACATAGACTGCCAATAAAAATTTGTTCCATATGTCCCAAAACAACATACATTGTTTTACGAATGCTGAATTGACAGATTTAGTCTTGTATGTCCTATATGGACTGGCAGTTATGATTGAACTGCTGTCAGAATATGCTGGAAAAGGTACCGAATGAGATGTGTATCACAACACGAAATGTTTATATATCTGCATCAGAATTCATGTGAATATGAATTCTTAGGGTTAGGATTTAGGCTACCAGGCAGCCACAATCAATCTGAACTCTTTTCACGAAAGAGATTGTGTCACATGTGCACCAGTGTCTCCCTTTGTGTGTATTCAGATAGCCTAGGTGCCTGATCAGGAGAGGCATCATTTCAGTATGACAAATCTATGCTTGAGGAAGTTATGCTGCTCTTCAAACCTAAAGAATATTGGCAAAAATAAAATATATTTGTTACTTATTGAAAAATGATTAAAATCAAAATGTACAAAAACATTATTTAATGTAAAGTACAATGCCTGCCATTGAATGCCATATGTCAAAATATTAAATTTAGAGTCAAATTTATGGAAATTTAAAAATGATGGGAAAATTGCTTTTGTTCATTATAGTGTATGGTCACCTCTGGCAAAAATGCAAAGTTGCGTACATTTTATCGAATTGTAGATCACATCTTGTAGAATCGCATGCCACTCTTAAAAAAATGGACTGTTCAGATCTTCAAGGATCTGCATGAGTATTTGGCAGTCTAAGGAATCACACATGCTCAAACAGGTTTAGGTCTGATGAGTAAGCTGGTCAGCCCATTTGTGTGTTTTCTTCTGTTTCTGAGCATTCTGACACCAGATATGCTTGATACAATTGAGGATTGTCATTCATTAGCAAATTCATTAGAACTCTTGAATAGTCTTATGTTGGATTTCAGTCCTTCATCTACATATTTAGGACTGGCTACAGAATCTCTGTTAGAGATATACTGCTTGATGTGGCTATTTTCGATGCTACCATTATAGATCATATAACTGCTTCTTTGGAAGTGAGGTCTTTCATGAACAAGGAAGTGCAAATTATGTCCTCACTTTCCCAACATCAAAATACATCTAGAATCACAATTCAGGGTATATCTAGAAGATGGCCAGTAAACAGAAGCTGGTCCCTTTCTTCTTGACTCATGGCGATACCACCACCTTACACCAGCCCCGTAAAGGTCATAGCCAGGATCTAATCGAGAGGTGTGCAAATGATTTTAGAATGAAGAAATTAGACCAAGAATGGATTTTTTATGCCCTGCAGTGGTCGAGTAGATAAAACTGCAGAGCACTGGTAATTCAGTTCAAGATTTTTAATCCTACCTAACTAGCTCCCTGCATGAATTTTTGTGTTTTTCCCCATATGTAACATGGAGCCAATTCTCTTAGAAAATCCTCTATAAAGGCATACTTCCCTATAGGGGTAGGTAGTGCATGCTACATGCTTTGCCATAACCCCAGGAAAGGAGTAAATAGACAGTATTTTTTAATATATGGATATAAGCAGAATATTAAAGATTGAGGAATACAAATAGAGATTCAGTAACTTTTTAATCTCCTCCAGATAAAATTTAGGCTGCACATGTGGCTGATTGGTGTAGATTGCTAAATATCAGAAGCTTGATTCCAGGTGAATGGACTGCTGCATGGTTGTTTTTCGGTGTTGTCTCCATGTATAACATGGCTAAGTTTCTCTTAGAAACTCCTTCACAAAGGCATGCCTCTCTTAAGGCAGATGGCACTTGTGTGCTTCTCCGTGTTTCAAATAACCACAACCAGATTAATTTATAGCCCCTAACTTGCAATATAATAACTTTTTTTTCTCCTGTCACTGCAAAATTTTTCTTAAATTTCTTTTTCTGTCTTGATTCTTCTTTCCTGGACTAGCTTTTGATGTGTAAACATACACAATACATTCGACCAAGACTTTTATTTTTTTGTTAATCTCAACGAAGTGGTACTAAATAGACTCAAAAGATGTTCATTGCACATAGTTGAGACCATGTACAACGGTTACTCTTGAGCATATTTTGTTTATGAGTGATAAAAAAATTTCGGTGCATTCCTAAATTTTTCATTGTTAGCTGTTTCATGTTGTTGAACTTTACTTCCTTCCAAAAATTGTACAAGAGTTCTATCTGCTCTAGGAAAGAAACTATTGTAGTTGTAGTTTAAGAGTCACACCTGCAATAAGAATACTTTTAATTTTTTACATAGCTTGATAATTTTTTTTCATTTGATTTTAATTAAAAGCAGCACATTTTTTAGTACATAAAATAAATGTTTATATTATTTTTTTCTTTACTGATATTTTTATAATGTAAATGTATTGTTTCGAAATGTTATGCAGATAAGTTTACCTCATCTGTCAAACATTTAAACATAAAGTCTTTTTGTGTTCACTAATACCTTTTATTTTCTATGCTACTTCTCATTTTACTAATGTTACTTGTGTTTTTACTTAATTATTTATCTACTTATTAATTCTTGAGTTTCTTCTGTTTTCGTTACGTATTTTCATGTTTTGTATGTTTACTAGTTATTCTATCTTCCTTTTGCTAATCTTAAAATATTTATTTTCGGTTAGGAGCCTAGATTGGAGCCATTGTTCATTAATTAATTCAAATGATTCTTCATTTTCTCCTTCTTTCTTCATTTTATTTCCTTGATAATCTTTGCTGTGTAATTTTATCTTTATTTTTGTACAGCAGGTTACAGACTAGTGTAAATATTTCTTTTTAGCAGTTAAATAATGAGTATCAAAACTATCTCAGATTTATTGGATTACCTCCACTGCCATGTGTGCATATGCATATATAAAAGCATATATTCAAAAAATTCAACTTGTTTTGATATATAGAAAATTAAATTATATAACTATACAATAGGAAGAAGTATTAGACTTTCAAATGGAATCATCACTAGTTTTTCACAAAATATTCAGAGAGCTTTAAGGTTATTGGCAAAAAAAGTGGTTGGCTCATTTATCAACTGGTAGGACAAACAAGCAATGATATTTAAGGAAACTCATTGATTTATGGGTAATCACTTATTATCCTGATGCCAGATAGCAAGCTCTCTGTTTGGTAATTTATAGTTTGGAATATAATATGGCATAGTAAGAAAGGAGCAAATCTTATGTTGGCTTGCTTTTATTTAGGGGCCTGCAAGTGCACCTTTGTGCATCCTGCAGGCTATGCTCATGAACATGACCTCATGACATTAGGAGAAAAAAAAAAAACATTTATCTATCAGATAAAGAATGTACAAAACTTTTGAAACTACATCCACTCTATTAGCCTTTCTTTTTATAACATAATATTTTAATACTTGGTAAAAATAGCATTTAATTCCGTTTTGTGTTATCTGAGCTGTCTCAGAAGAATTTAAGCATAATCTGTAAAAAAGCAGTTGGAAATGTCAAAGGGAAATTTACCAGATCAATGTTCATTCTTGCCACTTATTTGTAATAACATTGTTGCATAGCTAGTCTTGAGGTGGAGGCTAACTGTTGCCTGAAAAGTACCATCTTTAGTTTATTTTATATTCTCTTGTAATACGTGGGATTTTTATCTTTCATAGATTCCATTTGAAAATAAGAACGTGTTTCAAAATGCATGGTGTCAAGTTGCTAGGCAAAGCATTGAGGAAAATATAACTGTTATTGTTGTAAGTACAATGGCTCTTTTTGTCTTTCCCTATGCGTTATGAACATCCAAAGCATTTTTGTTAAAACGTTATGTTTTAAATTCATTTTAATAGTAAGTAAAATTTTCTGCGGTTAATCTCATGCTGAAATTTTGTATAATTTTAAAGGTCTTTTTTTCTCCTTTATTTGTGATACGAAGTAACTTGCCTATTCCTCTTAATGTGGAAATAATCTCACAAGAAGGTAATGAATATGATGTTCACCTTATTGGCCGTGGGCAAGAAATTCAGCTGCTAGATGGCTCTGAAACAGGGCATGAACTTCAGTTCAAATTCAAGCGTCATGCTAGCTCTGGTAAATTTTTTTTTAATTTGCAAAAATTATTTTTAATGTTCATAATTTAGAAATAAATGTAGTGCAGAAGTACAGTACTGTTGATTCCTTTTATTTTTTAATCATTCATCTAATATTATAACAAAGAGATTTTTATAAATGTATCAAACATAGCAAGTCATTGCTTATTAATTCTTTTTTTAATAAACAAAGTATTTTTAATACATGATTTTCTTCATCAACTATGAGTACTACTAGCTATTCAAGTTAAATATGAGGATTGGGAGCTGGATTAAAAAATTCTGGAAATTCAATAATAGATATGAAGGACAAATTATTTCAATTGATGTCCCAGTACCATCACAAGTAATAGATTACGTGAAATTTTTTTGAGTTTATTCTATTAGCTTTAACCCTTCAAGCATTAAAGGTTTCTAATCTTATCTTACCTCATTCACTTGCACTTGGCAGCTGAGGATAGTGGTTCGGTAAAACCATCGAAACTAGTCCTGTGAAAATTTGCAAATATAACGTTGATTTTTGTTGTTTGATTTCTAAATTAACATTAAAGGTTTGGTCCTGAGATCATGAAGTTCTCCAAATTTCCATAATAAGGAGTATTTTTTATGCTTGCCGGTGACCTTCTTACATTGTGTCTTGATTCTTTTCTTTCCAATATATTTCCAACTTAAAATCTGATCTATCAGAAGCTGGCATGCAATAATTTTCATGCGTAAAAAATTTGAAAGCCATCCTTTTATGAAGAATTTCTCATCCATTAAGTCTGGAGGGTTAAAAATAAGTTGTTTGGTGCAAGATAGAGATAGTGTCCCAAAGCAGAGCGAATTTTTATGATTGAGCATAACTTTGCAATGCATAAATTTGATTTCAAAGTTACCTTTCTCACACTCTATGGTGGTGACTGCAATCCTGTCTTCATCCATTTTGTCTGATCTCACAAACTTCATTTATTATGATGCATGCCTTTATTTTCTATTTTCTTGAAACCATGTTCCGAAGCGAAAAATTATAATCTTGTTCGTGAATATTTGAGGTGATCTCTTTAATTGCTTCAAACAATTTTTTGTTGGAATGCACTGAAAAATAATGTTCAATCATAAAAATGTGTTTTGCTTGGGAAAAACTCGCCTCTATTTTGCAGCAAGCAAATAATTTCTAAAGCTAACATCATAAACTGCAATTAAATTTCATCTGATATATTATTGTTTATAACTGTATAGAGGTTTATTCATTGAACTAAGTTACCATTAATATCTGTTTGGGAAATTCACAATTTTTGAAAGTTGGATCATCCTGTGTTTTATATTCCTGCTATTAATAGTTGCTTCAAGAGAATGAAATTCTCTGCCTTAAAACAAATGATAATAATGCAAAGATGTTTTCAAAATTTGATTATTTTTATAAGGTTTTTTTATTGTTTTTCCTTTTGTTTATTAAAAGAAAATAAATTCCTACTTGAATTAATCGCAACAAAATTTGCTTAAAATTTTGATCTAAAATAGATCTGAAATTAAGTACTGTAAAGTTTTATTTACCAGTGCTCCCCTCTCCTAGTAGTAAGTTTCCCCCCTTTTTTCTTTTTTTAAAGCTTTATTGTAGTGGTTTCCCTTTCCCCACAAAACAGCATTTTAAACTTTAAATCACAAAAAGCATATGTTTTTATCTATTCTGTGGATTAAAAATAATGTTCCAATATTATAAATGTGTGATAATGTTTTCTTATTAAATATGAGCAACTGTTGCATATCATCTAAAATAAATCAAGATTTAGAAAGAAAATCGTACCTTGATATAAAATATATGTTAAGATATATATTTAGTGAATAAAATTGAAATACTGTAATAATAAATTGTGTGCTAAACTGCAATAATTTTGATATATGCACTTCTGTACAGTGCTTTATGTTTGTGCTTCGTATATCATTTGTCTGTTTAGTATTTTTATGTTTATGTTTCATAATTGTCATTCATTTTTCATCATGTAAAAAATTTACAGTTACTTTTTTGTCATAAATTTGATGAATATGTTTTGAGATAGCAACATTATTTGACAAATACATAGCACTCCTGCACTGAAAATTATGCACACTGTAAGTGGTGAAATGTTATATATTATTTTTGTTGCCATTCTTACATGCTTTTTCAGCAGCTATTTTGACTTTATTTGATTTTGCTTAACTTTAGATTCATCATTCTCAAGATTCTGCCAAACATTTTCATCATTTTAAATTATGCAAATAATTTTATTTTGATTCATGCCATTTTAGATTGCTATATATTGAATGAATGCTATAGAGGTGCTATGTGTTCTAGCAGCATTTCTGAATGCTTCAAAACTCTTCTAAAACTTGCATTACACAATGTGCTGCTTAAATGTGATCATGGATAATGTTATCATTTGGTAATTGTTATTGAAATGCTAAAGTCTCCATTTGTATGTAAAAACATGGAAAATATATTGCCTATTGTTATCAACAAGTTGGTTAATTTCATCAAAATATTATATGATTAATCTTTTAATCTGAATTGTTAAATGACAGAAGCAGGCTACTTCATAAGGGACTAAGTCACAAAGTAATTTGGTTTTGATTTGGCAATCATGTACAGAGGAACCCGTTTTCTAAGCTTTAAGAGGGCCAGCTGGATTCACTAGAATTAGCAAATAACAAATTTTAGATGTCTTTTTGCATCAAAATACCTTGGGTTTTTTTCAGTTTAATAACTTTTCGGAAAGCTCTCTGTTCCAGGAAATGCTTATTTTTAATCCTGTTTAGACATTTTTTGCTATGGAATCAAGAAAAACAATGTAATAATCTGGGTTTAAGGAATAAAATCGATTTGTTAAACTGCTGTGGCAATTCCCAGAAATGAGTCAGCAAAATGTTGCTTTTAAGTTTAATATTTCCTCTAAACCAATGTTTAGCAACTTTACTGCTTGCCCGCTGGCAGGCTTTGTTATCAAAACAAAATTAAATGCACTTAGCTCATTTATTTAAAGAGGCAGAAATAGATCTTATGTTTAAAACTAAATCTGAATATCTGATGACAGCATTAATCATAAACACTAAATTAAGATATATCAAAATTAAAATTCTTCTTCAGTGTATGAATGAACATGGGAAAATAGAAGTGGTAGGAATCTTTGTAGTATTCCGTACCTTGTGTAGGATCATTGGCTATCTGTGAATTATTGCACTTTTTTTTAAAATATAGTTTTAAAAATTTGGTCTTTCCATAATGATTAAATATGAATCATTTATTGTACAATTTTCTCTTTTAGATACAGATATATCAGCACCACCTTTATCAGTTTCTGCTTCATATCTTTCAAAAATGCCCATAAAAATGTTTGAAGGCCATGAAAACCTTTATGAAATATGCTGTCAAATGCAATCATTTAATAATATGATGTGGCCATATAGTTTCTATGAAAGGTGAGATTATAACTAATAATTTAAACTAACTTCTCTTTTAATTATTTCATCGGTTTTTGTGTACTTTTTCAAAATTTATTTCATGTGTTTTTGTACTATATTTTTTAATTAATCAGCTTTGTGTCATATGTTAGAAAATGTTATTAGATTATGTAAAATGTTATGTATTTTATATATCTCATTTTATTCATTCGTGATTGTGTTTCTGCTGTCGAAATTAGATACTAATATTGTGTATAACATATTTGGCTTGTTTACGTGTATTTTTTCCAGCTTTGAAAATGTTAATACACTGTTACAAAAAAGTATATGCACCCAGAAGGAAATTAACTACTATCACAAAACTTAACATTGTATAGTGTATGAGGAGATAAACAAATAATTACAAATTCTGAACAAAAGATTGTTTTATTAAGAATTAATGGCATGAAAAAAGTCACAAATCAGTGCGTAGTATAGCCACCTCTGGCAGCTATACAAGTTGTAACACAGCGTGGCATTGAATCAACTAGATTACCTATGGCCCCCTGCAGAAGATCATATAATCTTTGCAACTGGGTAGTTAATTCACCAATATTTCGTGATGTTTGCATTTGCCTTCCAAGTATGTCCCAAATGTGCTCTATTGCTGAAAGGTCTCATGACCTGGAAGTTCACGGGAGTACGTTATAGCCTTGAAGACGTTGTTGGGAGAGTCGTGCAGTATGTGGATGAGCACTGTCTTGCTGATAAATAGCACCTGGCCGAGTTAATAGTATAGACTGTACAACTGGCATTAAAAAGTCATCCACGTAACTGCGAGCCATCATAGTGCCTTGAAGGGCAACTAGAGATAATTGTGTGTCCCAACAAATCACTCCCCACACTGTCACACCTTGTGTAATCGCAGTATGCCACTCAACAACAAATGCCAGATTGGACCACTGTCCTAATGCATGTGTGTTGGTAATCAGCACTGATACTGAATTGGTATTGATCGCTGAAGATCGCACTTCTCCAGTTGGTCACACTCCAGTCGGCAGCATATTCCATTATCGGCGTGTAGTCTCCGAATAATTTCTCGATACCACCAGATGCCAGAAAGGTGGGAAGGGGCGTCGAATCGATGCTAGCGATGTTGTCAGTGCAGAAATGGCCGCTGTTATGAATGCATGATCCTCGTGCTCATTTATGTTCCTGGGACGCCCTGGCCCTCCACGACTATGGTCGACTATCCCTTCTGTAATCTGCTGTCACAAACACAGAGAAACTATCATATCACTCCGAACGAGGTGGCGGCCGATACGCCTGTTTGACCAACTTGCTTCTCTGAGGCCTACTATATACCACTTCTGAAAGTGCAACAATTGCTCATACTACCTCTGGTTACAACTCAGATGCATCTCTAGTAACAGTGCCGTCCATCCAAGTTGACATATTCATTTGAATAGCCCTACAGCACAATCAATCATGCTTTTAAACTCTCCCAGCTGTGCATCTCATATGTGTATAGCACGCTTACCCTTGTCTCAGTGGCACCGAAATTAAAATTGTTTGCATATCTCTTACCAGACTACATTCCTAGCAAGTTTTGTGATTGTAGTTCGATTTCTTCTTGGTACATATATAATTTTTGTGACAGAGTGTATATTGCAAGTGCGCTCCATTTGTTAGAAATAATCTTTACATACCTGAGGTATTGAGAATAATATGAATGTAGTAATGTGAGTTATTGCTAATTATATAAAAATATAAATATATTAAACATTTACACTATAAACCCTGATGTCCGTAGTTTTTTTAACAACACTGATTGCAAATATTGTGCAGTGTTATTTAAACTCTGCAGTAAATGATGATTATAAAACAGTACTTATAATTTTTTTTAATTAAATTCATCAATACAACATGTCCATTGTTTTGACATATGTATGTTTAAAACTGTACTAATATAGCAACTGTATTTTAAATGATTGTAACACAATATATTTTGCAACTGTTGTAAAAGTTCATTCAAATAGAAGATAGAAATATGTAGTTTTGCTTGCTTTAAACTAAACAACTGTAAATTGAAATCTCTGTTTTTACTTGATTTTGAGCTAGATTTCTTCAAATATTTTAATTTGCCATAATAGAAACTGGTACAAAAATGTGACCTATTTATTATAGATATTATGCATCTTAAAACTTGCTACTGCTTACACAGGATGTCCCACTCTAAAGAGGCCCCAGGAAAAGTGTGATAAAAAATTTATGACAGAAGGAAATGAAACCGGATTTTAACATAACATGCCTATATATTTGAGAAATGAAAGTGCATTTGAAGACGTGCTGGAAGTGACCTCCTCCACCTGTATACATAGTTCAACATGGTGTTGCATGTTCATGTTTGTTGATCCCAAATTACACGTGGTAGAGTGATGAAGCATGGTTTCACTTCTCAGGATATAAACGAAATATGCGTTTATGGAGTAGTGACAACCAGCATGCAGCCATCGAGGAATCCTTTCATTCGTAGAAGAGGGTGTATTTTGTGCATTACCTCAGCTGTGCATCATTAGGTTAATTTTTTTACATTATTGTCACCAGTGAAGTGTACTAGGCACTTTTTCATGAATTTGTAAACTAGTTGGATGATGAGGAGCTGACACTTGGCTTACCAGCCACACATCTGTAGCAATTATTATTCTGTAGCTTGGCAACATGCCACACATCTGTAGCAATTATGAACGCTGTGTTATCACTTTTCCAGATTTGAACTCCCCTGAGTGTTTTCTATGGGGTGGTCTTAAAGGTAATGAGTACAAGCACAAACCATGCCCATGGATGATTTGCGTCAGAACGTCCATCATGAAATCTAAGGAGCCACACCCAATAATCTGGCAGCAACATGCACGAATTTCCAGCATCTTGTTTAACTGTGTATACAGGTGGGGGGAGATCACATCCAGTGTCTCTTCTAATACACTTTCATTTTTCAAACATAAAGATATGTCATGTAAAAATTTTATTTCATTTCCTTTTATTGTAAGGTTTTTGTCACTCTTTTTCTGGAGCCTCTTTCGAGTGACACACCCTTTAAGCAATAAAATTCACTTTAGCATGTGTTGAAATAATTACACTCTTTTAAATTTGACCTTGGCTCTCCATGTTTCTTTACTAATCTGTTAGTGCTTTTCCTTTGTAAAATCATCCAGCTTTGAAGCAGTACATACTTTGAGCTGAGCAACAAAGCAGTATAGACTAAAAATTATTACTTTTCAGCAATGGCCATTTGTTATGTTCAAAATATGTTAAGCTTTAAGCTTCTACAAACTCTTATGTAAGAAGTGATTAAGACACAAATAAATCTGAAATGCAGAGCAGATGGTTAACTTATATTTAAGGTATATATTTTTGAAAAATAGATCAATTTTTGATAGTCACATTTAGCTGCAGCAGTAGTTAAAACGTTTTGTGTGAGGAATTATGCTCTTTTCTCAATTTTTAAGAAAGAGAGGCAATGGTATAATAGAACGTACAGAATCGTTAAGGTTATTTTCCAAGCCGTTATTTTCAATAAAACGAATTCTTTGTGTAGTATTTGTTTTTCCTTTTTTTGATTGTCAATCTCCTTTTTTTTATTTGTTTTTCCGATTTTTGATAGTCACATTTAGCTGCAGCAGTAGTTAAAACGTTTTGTGTGAGGAATTATGCTGTTTTCTCATTTTTTAAGAAAGAGAGGCAATGGTATAATAGAACATACAGAATCATTAAGGTTATTTTCCAAGCCGTTATTTTCAATGAAATGAATTCTTCGTATAGTATTTGTTTTTCCTGCATGTGGTATAAGTCACACTCTTAAAAAGATGTATAAGAAAGATATTTGTTTTAAAGCAACTAATCCATATTTATTTTTATGTAAATCAACTTTCTTTTAATACCAAAAATGCATTTGGCAGATTAAAATGTAGAATTTATAATAATAAATAAGTTCTGTGACTTAATAAAGGAATAGTAGTTACTTGAAGAATGTAATATTGGCGGTGTGTTTGTGAATTTCTCAACTTTTGTTGAGAATTTTTTTTAAATCCATAGTATTTTATATTAAGCTAGGTTTTTCCTGTTTGTCTGTCTCCAAGAAATTTTTTTGCTGCACTGATATGTACTATGAGTTACAGTGCTTAGTTTTAAATATTGCTTGTATTAAATTCATTCTGTTACATTTCTGCTGCTAGAGAGTGAACAAACAGTGGATATGTTGTAGGAAACGCTGACTGCTGGCAGTAATTCCAAGAATTAAGTTACCTGTTTCAAGGTAAAAAAGAAGAGGACATAGCTGCATATATATTTTTTTGTTTTTCTTCATATAATAGCATACTTGCAAATCAATTTCCTTGAGAATGTTCTCCATGAAGATGCCCTTTCGAAGTCAGAAAATCCTTATATGTACTGCCATAATTAAATTTCAAATTTATCTCAAGGGGAACATAGCAGTGGACGTGGAATTGAAATTACTCATTGCTAACAGTTTTTCAAGAATTAAACTCCTGATTTTTTTTTCTTTTAAGAGAGAGATATTTGCTTAGGTATTTCCTTTCTTTCCTTCCTTCACATGTAGTATACACTGGTGTGCAAAAATTAAGGACGAAGTAAAAAAATTAGCATATCAGCTGAACGAAGAGGCAGAGAGGACAGAAAGACCAATCAGGAGATTAAGTAAGGTGATGTACGGTGGTAGCACATGCGCAGATATGCAGGTAGACGTAATGGGGGAGTGTCTGAGTAGTATAAAGCATGTTGTCGGTGTAAGATCAGTATTTCTGGCAAAGAGATTGCACGCCATATAGCAGTTAAAATCACACCGAGTTGCTGCCTCAGCGAGAAATGGCGAATAATCAATCTGTTAGACGACATCTGGATGCTTTTACCCGAGGTCGAATCATTGGGAAGTTGGAGGAAGGGCGCAGTGTGACCAGTGTGGCTGCAGAGTTCGGAATTGCTCACAGCATCGTTTCACGACTTTGGAGACAATTTCAAAC